ATATCGCTCAGTATGCTGCCCTCCATTTTTTGACGACCCCCGGAAACACACAGGTGCACTGTGTACATGAAATGCACGCAACATGCATGCAACAAAGCGCGTGCTGGAGGGGCCAGAGTCACGCTATAGACACAGTTTGTCGTATACAAAAGTTTTTTAAGCAAAACTTCGAGTAGGGGGGGAGTCACGGTAGAGTCACGCTACAGTCACGGTAAAGGGGCGAACGTGTATCTGGGACCTGCTCACTGAGTTTAAATCCGAATTAGCAAGGTTCCTCCAAAGGCATGAGCGGTTTGTAGGTACCATCCAGCTCTTTTGCCTTCAAATAGAGTTAGATGTGTATTTGTATACCGGGTAATCTTTTTTAAAAAAACTATGAACAAACTTTCAAGCATACGAATAAAACTGTTAATTAACAACAGTTTTTGATAGTCATATGTTCTTACAATTTTCGTGGAACATGCGGCGCAGTTTTTCACGGAGTCATTGATCCGGTTGGGGACCCATCCTGCATCCGTCATCAATGTGAGAATCTGTCCTCGTCGTCAATGGGTGGTCTCCCCCTAAGGCTCCAAGCACCAGGACCAGCTCGCGAGTGAACTCCTCACGCTCGGTCGGTCATGCACAAGGCTCGCTGAGGCTGGGAAAGAAGTGATGGCAATGGGCTCACGGGTCTCTATCCCTGTACCCCTTAACTACTGGAATAACAACCACAACAACCAGAACCGATAACAAAAAAAGAGTAATAATATGGAATAGTGATGAATAGTGTACAACATATTGCTACTGGTACTGCCATTGCTACTGATTCTTCATCCTCGCTCTGCCTGTCGTCTCGTCACATCCGCGTGGACCACGCGTGGACGGGTTCGCTCCTGTCTCCAAGGCTCGCTTCGCCGGGAGCTCTCATGGGCAGGCGTGTCCTGAGAGCTCAACACCATCTGTGTGTCCTCGGTGTCTGGAAAACACACGCCAGTGCCATGGTCAAACATCCTTCATTTCTTAGCTCACCGGGTGATCAACACAAAAGCAAATACAGCATGCAAATACTACAGTATATATGCCAGTAGGGTCCTTAGAAACAGTGATAAAGCGCTAAGAAAGCCTCGTCTGCATGTTCATCCATCACACCGAACGTGCGTGTCACGGGCCTGAAAACAGTCCTCCCATTGATCGTCCTCACAGCGCGGCATGGAAAACGGGCCCACTCAGCCCCAGTCCCGTCTCCTGTTCACACCCCCGAGCTTGCTGGCTCCAAACTAAGCCTTTTCCACCAAACATGCTCGTCCAACCCTTCATCAGCATGGTGGCTGTGATTGGATCAGCTGGTCACATGTCACCTCATCCTCTTCGTCTCGCTTCCGTTTCGAGCAGCTCCTGGTGAGAGGCGGCTGGAAGCGATGGCAGACCAAAACTGTTCTCAAGTGCCATGGGGTCATACCAGTGAAAGGGCACAGTTCTACTTTCTTCTACTACATACTGCATATTTGAAAACGTGTGCCAACAAAGTTCATGAGAAACAAACATAATACAAATAACGGATGCACGGGCAAAACACTGCGTTCATCTCTGATGAATCATGAATTTCTATCGAATCAACAATATATAATATATTTATCTGAGGCCTTTGGGATTTAGACTCAGCTTCTCGACATAAACATCCATCAAAACACGCAACACCGCATCGATCGCCTCCCATGTGCACAACATAGATTGCGCACAACATCGCACAACCTCCTTTAGATTACGCACATCCGCACAACCGAAGCGTAATCCGCAAACCCCCCAAAATGTCGTGTTACGCCTGTAGCCAAGGAAAACTGCCAGGAGGATGGCCAACGCGTAGGTCCGCAGGGACCCATCTGAGGATGCTGCCTGGCCATCGGATTGTTGAATGATGCCAAAGACATTCTTAACCACCTTCTCACTGGTTTCATTATATACACACCAATAATTTCCAACGTGTTTGCATTCTCTGGAGTCACTGTTCCGCACTCCTTGTGAGAAAAGAACTCTTCACCTGGCTCCCATCCTTCAGGATGACACATTGCACAAGGAAACCCCTAAACATTGGATCTGTCATGATCTATCGATGTCGTTAGACGGTGGATTATGATCCTTCCACTGAGGCCGACAAAATATGTGATACCTCTCGAATATACCGATATAATGATTCTCTTCTATTGGTAGGCTGAGGGAAACAACACAGGCGTCATCCGGCCTCTGGCTGTAGCCAGGGCGCCAACACCTCAGCACTGATCCACTGTTGCTCCATGCAGCTCCTACTGTTGTACATGAAATAAGACAAGCACCTGGAGATATGGCCATCCGTCTATGGACTTGAAGTGTGCTACTACTATATATCTACTACTAAGTGTACTGCTACATACTGCTACAATTTCTATTGCTGTACTAGTGCTATTGCTGCTGTTACTACTGCTACTGCCACTGTAACTGTCGACAGTAGAGATTTTTGTCCATAGTACAGTATTGCAGTAATGATATCTGATATCCCGCCCACCCTCCAGTGCGCAGTTCTCACCCCCAACATTCTTTTTGGCAGTGGCGCACCGCTTCGCAGCGCCAGCTGCAGGAGTAGGTCAGCAAATTGAACCTCCGCTTCAAATTGATGCTCCGGACTGTCCAGCCGAGCACCTGGGGAGGTGGAAAAGCCCGGTCACAGGCGCAAACAAAGTCCCGGTCACGCGCACGCGACACCTGGTGCAGTCTGTTGGAATCAAATCCAATAGAAAGGGTTGCCCCTGAATGGAGAACACCATTGAACAGTCCTTGGTTCAAGACCAACCAACTGAGCCTCGGTGATTCGAAACCAAGATAGAAGGATGTTGGGTCAAACCGGCCTGGTTGCAATTTGTTTGGTTCCCCGACATGATGGATGCCTCCATGTCTGCCGGCCAGTGGCCCAAAAGGGCAGTATTCTCACGGTACGGTGATAGTCTTGATCTTTGAGAAATCGCAGTCTATCCGGTTTTCAGTGGCGAAGGAAGGACCTTGAACATAGGGCGCCTGAGAGGGGCAAACATCTTTGACCAAGACATGTGGCCTTTGGCCCTGTCCGTGGAACATGACCCATCACTCTTGGAGCCTTCTGTGCAATTGCACGTGAAAAAACACAAATAAATAAATACATACATACATATATATATATATGTATATATTATATCTCTATAACTACAAAATTGAAGCCTCAGGAACACACAGGAATCGGGAAAAAGGACGTTGACCCCAATGGAAATGGTCCTTCTCAAAGCATATTCCACAGCTACCAGTAGGTATTTGGAGATGTATCGAGATCCTTTGAGATATGTATGGCATTAGCAATTGCTTGTTCTGTGAAACCTCACATTGAACATGTTCATTTCGCATTGCCATAGCTCGTTTCACTTCTACCTTGTGCTGTGCTGTCTACTTTCCTTGCACTGGGCCGACATGTCTAGGGAATCTATGAGATATTGTGAGATCATATTTTTCGATGCTGTCAGGCTCCAAAAAGAGCGTTAGAGGTCATCACTGTCTACTTCAAAAACACATCGCGTCTCTGCACGATTCCTACGTCGACATGATGCGCCGTCGACGCGCACCCACGACGACTTAAACTCCTCATGGCCAAGCGACCGTACGGGCGAAATGCCCATTGATTGAAACACGGAAGCGTCGACCAAGTGGCATGTCTCAAAAACGATCAAAAACGAGCATTCCAACTTCCATCCGTTTCTGAACTACTTTCTGAGGAAGTGTTGTCCATATTTAGAGCCACGCCCAAACCATAAAGACGCAGATTCGGTCGAGTGGGCAATTCGGTCATGCGATTTTCGCTTCAAACTACGGCTTCTGCTGCATCTGCCCTCGTCCTCGCGATCCTCAGAACTGTTGTCTTGAGCCGTTTTTGCCTCCCAATGATCAAGACCATTTGAAGGTTGCTTAACGGTTACATACTTGCTTGCATCACTATCAGTGCTGGTAGTCCAGCTAGGCCTCTCCAAAACTCACAATATGCCACCACTGCTCATGAAGGATGACAAGGACTAAAGACAAGGTTTGCTGTCTTTGAATGCACTTTCAACTCAATGACTGCGCACAGTTTCAGGAGATTTCAGGAATGCACTAGTGACTAGTGGAAGGGTTGAGGGCTTTTCCGGCTCCTGCCTCATCTATCTGCTTACTTAGCTGTGCCCCGAAGGAGCTTACTTAACCGCCGCAACGTTGCAACGGCAAGACACGCCGATGCAAAGACCGGCTCATTTGATGTCAATGCGGCAGTTGTGTTGGAACCTCAGGCGCCAAGGCCGGCAATAGCTCGGGTCGCTGAAATTAAGGCACAGCTGCTCCACTCGTTCCCTTGGCACTCAAATGTAGCAACTCTTCAAGTGGAATCTGATGGAATCTGGAACCCGTGTGGGAGACCACATCGTCATTCATGCACCATTGAATATCGATTGCCGCTTGGCTCACCAAACGTGTCCCTAATAGGGCAAGGTGCTTGGAGTTCAGATATGGCTTCAGTGCCTGCCATTCGTTGGCATCTGACAAAGGAAGCGGCATTCGATTGCAAAGACTTTGACGTTTGAAGCGTGATCGTCCCATAAGGACTGGGCGATCACGGTCTTTAAAACATCCTATGGTGGGTCACCAACAGTTGGCACACAGGGTCGCAACAAACTAGTTGGCACAGGGTAGTTGGCATAAAGCCACGTTTTTTTCCATATATGCCATCTGGTCGTGATTGACTATAAGTCTGTTCTCATGATTTCTCATGAACTATGCACGCGGACTTTTTGCTGATACTACATCCAACCCATCCAGTGGAATCAAAGGACGGCTGCTCCCAACGAAGCATATCAAGGCAAACGTGCCTGGGTGTCCAACTTGCTGTCACCTCTCTTCTCCTGGAGAGAAGTGGGCGGTGTGCATCACAGGTCAGGAACCTACACAGTCTAGTAGCTTCTGTCTTAAATGATAATGATAACACCTTTGGGTGATCAAATCTCCCAAAATGACCTGAACAGGATCCTCCCCACCAAGCTTTGAGAGGTTCTAAGGATGTTTGGTGGCCTTACACCTATAGCAACTGCTGATAGAAGCCTCGTTCCTTCCACAAGCTCTGGCAAGCAACGGAAACTGTGTATATAATTCAACACTGCGGTTGCTTGAATCACCTCCCAAAGACCATTTGCATCCATTTGCACCGGGACTCCGAATGTCGTCTTCCTCAAAATTAGTCCAATTGGCACACCCTTCTGGAAACTGCAAAGGCAAACATGGCATGCTAACGATTGGGCTCCAAGTAGGTCCTGGGGGCATACAGTTTTAGGGCCAATTGACTGATGCACCACAGCCATGGCCTCAGACTCGATCAGGTTCTCCAGGTGGTGTGTGCGTTGAACATCGGGCATGAAGGACTTGTAGAAGGCTTCGACGATGCCGCCGGGCGAGGCACTGCCGAAATATTTCATGTACCACCTGAGAAAGGCTACATCCCAGAAGGTAGGATTGAAAGCGAACGCACGGCTACACCTGCAGGATGTCCGGGAATTTTTGTACCACGTTTTATTGAGATGGCCAGCGTGGTTGAGATTCAACATGTGGTGCCTTCCAAAGAGCCATTGGGACAATCAACGGCCTCCATGATGACCTTCATATTTCTCTTGAAATCTGGGTGCTTAACACCAGTCACCAGTGCAAATGGTTTTGCTTGCTTCCAACCACGACTGGGAAGGTTTCAAACCTCCCTGGCTTCGAACGACTTCCCACTCCGGTGGTGGCCTCGCTGCTCGTCACCCGTCGGTGCGTGGGGGAACCCCAAATCGACACGTGTTCAACAGCCAAGTTGCTCAGTAAACTCCTGAAAGTCAATGACTCCATTCTGATCAAGGTCTGCTTCATGCCAGAACCGCAGCAAGCGGTTCCGGGGCAAGTCCGACTTGCCTTGGAGGGGTGTCAAGCAGCCTGACTATGACGACTGGAGTGGTCAAAGAGCCCTGCATGAAAAACATTGAAAAAGAAAACACCTGACTAAATTATCTAAGAGTTTTGTCGTTAGGATTCAGGGAAGAAACTGCAGGTGTTGTGCCGCCGGCACGAGCAGCATGACACAAACTCTGTAGCCTCCCTGTCTAGCAACTTCAATCAACTTCGTCAAGACTTGGTCTGATCAAAACTTGACTGCAAACCAAGAAGCTGGAACAGTGCAAAAGCTCATACATCCTTAATTTACGGTTCAAGGTGCCACACATGGCCACACTTTGGGAAGAAAGGCAGGAACATGGCCACATCTCCCTCACGGTGGGCTCTCGAACATGTCGTAAGATTTGTTGGTTTCAGGCAACAATGTAAACCGTGTGACCTTCTTTCAAATCTCACAGAAATCGTATGCCGCCAGCATGCTGGAAAACGCGTAAGCCGTGTTTCACTTGTTCGAACTGTGGTAATAAACAAAGGTAGCCCAGCTCAAAGCTATGATCTAGCCGGGCATCATGTGCTCGAACTCGTGAAAGTCAATGACCTCAACAAAACTGCCAAACGGCGCCAGGCACCAAAACTGCCAGGTTGGTATATCACAACAAAATTGACAGGTCCAACTGCTCAAAAACAATCGAATTCAATACGCATTAACGTTCGATAACGTTCATACAAAGGTCTTCACTGGAAGTGCAGCTGGTCAGCGTGTTAAGAAATCCTACTATTGGGGGCGGCCTAGTAAACTACCTATTGAACATGCACCCGAAAGCAAAGGTCTCAACTCTGAGACTGGTCTTTTTGATGCTGAGAACGGCCCATTAATTCACCACGTCCTCATTCACATAAAAACTTTTGACACGGCTGTCGTCCTAAAGGTAAGAAGCATCCTCTTTTTTGCGCTTTGGGACCCCAACGGCAGAACCATCTCTTGTTGTGTCTTTTGGACTAGTGGTGGTTTCGTGTTCACAGTCAATTGGGCACATTGATGCGGCCACCTGTATATGGGGGGATGTGGATGTCAACCACAACATGAAGAATCAACAATCTAGAGTCTAGTTCTAGCTGCGGATTTCTTGTCCTAACCATCCAATTAAGACAATTTCTAGACCCATAAGAACAAAAGCGGTTTCTTAATAGAAAACTTAACAGTGCTCAAACTGCCCAAAGGAAGTTGCATTTGCTTTGCAAAAGCACGGTTCTGTTCGCCGCCCCTGCCGCCCTGCAGCACACATGCACAACACATCTTCTGACCATGTCCTTGAGAATTTGGGTGCTTGGCAAGTGCTTGGTATGAACTCACAGCCATTTGGGGGCCCCTCTTCTGAGACACACCCCTTCCAGCCTCTCCCGGTGCCCCCCCTCCCAATTGCAGCCAAGCAAACGCCCGACTTGTCCAAATCGAAGTGATCGAACTGGAGCTTCACCTCGTCTGGTCAGTCGTCTGATGGTAGCTCTTCCACAACCATAGAGGAGTGGCATGCCACAACATACACCCTCCGTAACCACCTCTAGATTGGTGGGAGCGCCTAACTAGCGCCCTTGGAGGACTAGCCAAGATGATCTACAGTGGTGTTGTCTGTATGTGTATCATTGGTTGTTGTCTGCTTTCATGTTATACCCGGTGTGCGGTGTTGTGGTTCTGTTTGGTGTTTCCGTTGTCTGTATTGTCCGGTGTTGTGCCGGGGTACTGGTGGGCTTTTTCTGGGTGGGGCCACTGGCGGGATGTGCTGTGGTTGTGTTTGGTGTTGTCATTGTGTATGTTCAGCGTTGTGTTCTTTTTTATAAGTTGTCATGCTTGTCTTTGCGCTGGGTGATGCGCTCCAGCAGCAAAGGCCACGACAGGGTGGGTTGTCCACCCAAAATTAAGGTACCCCAATCCTGTCGGATGCTGAAACATGTTCAGCCAATGAGCCCCAATGCAATTTTCCGGTTTGTTTGAATGTAGACCCCCGTTGTTGTTCATGGCGACGGAAACTCATGTCTATGTACTGTACATCAATTTACTTGTCAAGAAACAAGGCTCATGGTCAACTACTTGGGTTGGCTTGTGTCGGCACTCCTGTGGATCTGCCGAGCGGGTACAAGTAGTTCATTGTGAGGCGAATCGGCCCTGTGAAAAAGACCCTGAGCTTTGTTCCTACCTGCCCTACCATGGCCCACCCGCAGAGCAATCCCGGAATCTCTCAATCTGGCCTTGTCCAACTCAATGCACGAGCAATTATGCCTCAGAATCGCACTACTGTACCATGCGGCCTGCCAGTCTTCTTCCCCGATCGACCCCATGTCCCTCGTAAAGTAGGATGACAGGGGAAATCAGGGGAATCAATCAAGCTTTATATATATATAGTTATATAATATTATATATATATATATATTTATACTTCACGACATCTTGACCTATTTTGACTGCTTCAAGCACTCAGACCTACTGTACACACTCGCCTTGACACATCGTCAAGAGGTCGAGAATCGTCTCTTCCCCTTCGTCGCCCGAACCACTTCGTCCACCGCAACCGACCAAGTCAGCCGGGACCAAGGAGGTCACGCCGCGAACCAAATGCTTGGGTGTCTGAAAAGGCGGCCGAACCAAGTGATAGAGTGATAAGCTTAAAAAACTTTTTTTCACACTGAATTTCATGATGGGAGAGCGCTCGCTGAAACGTCCTGAGATGTCATACCGAGCATTTCTGTGGCCTTGTTTCCATCCCCAAGTAGATGGAACCAAATGTGACTAGGCTGTTGTCAAAGACCTCGCATTTGGATCATCACTTAAGCAGCGAACCAAAGCCATAAGATTGAAGGAATGGAGATAACAATATTTTTTCTGGATCACTTCATCAATCTTCATCAAATTGTTTTTCTCACAGAATTCATCAACGGGCAATAGATAATAAACACAAATGATCTAGAACTCTCGGGGTTAGAATGACCATATGAACCTCGTAGCCGATAACCCGCAAATCCTGGAACTCAAGACATACAAACAAAACTATGAACCATTGTAGCAGGAGGATCTGGGAATTCATGCTTCTTTTGCTTGATTCGGAGGGGACCGCTAGAATCATCACCGACCGCCACAGCAAGATCTGGGAACCATCAAACAGAAATGGTTTGCAATTCCAACAAGCACCACTTTGCATAGTCGATGCCAGTATTTGAGTGTCCCGGCCGGTTCAGAACTGATCCGGGGCTCGCTTGAACAATCTTACACCACCAAACACCAAGCGCCAAGCGCTTCACACCCACAAAGATTCCCCAAAAGAAACGACCACGCGCTTCGTAGAGGAAGCACTTCTTTGCCAGCTCCAGGGTAAGACCATCTCCCTGTTCCGCTTGTGACTTCGTGGCCTGGAAGAACTAGATGGGATTCGGGGACAAGGTCCAACAGGTGGAACCGTGAGGAACACCTGCCCGTTCGAGGGCTCCAAATACCGAAATCAGAAGGTACTTGGACATTTAAATGCCATAATCCGAATCAATCTAGAGTGGCCTACAAAGGGAGCGATGCAAACAGCATCCAGTTTATACAGTGCTTATTTCAGGACAACTCATGATGTCCATACTCGGCTGTTTCAGGCCTACCTTGCAGGTATAATATATGTGTATATAAATATATTTACATATATATATATGGGTACAGCTTTGCCTCCCCAGGCTTAGGCCGACTAAGCACACAGAACCGGCAACATGAGCGGTGCCTCGATGTTGAAAATGTGGTCCCGGTACCTCAGTGTGGGTACACTATCTACTCATATCTACTCTGAAACCACTATAATTGCATTATATAGTATGTGTGCATCTACACATGCTAGACTGTAATGCCATATAGATCGATGTCATATGCATAGGGACATCATGCGGACTGATGGGTCCAATATGGTCCAATGGACCATGGGAGGTGCCGTTTTGTAGACCTGAGAGGAAACCTTACAACTTGAATTTAGAATGTGGTTGCAGTGATGATGTGTGAAACCCGCTTCATGAGGTGAAGCTCATTTCATTCAAGAGAACATGATGTGTTCCTCTGCAATCCAACTTGAGACACGCTCCAACAACATTCAATAAGGGCGTTAAACTACAGGCTTCAACATCTTCAACTCAGTGCACCGGCTTACCCTGGTGATGCTGCGACCAAACACAAATTCAGAAAATTTGTGGATGAGGGCCATGTGGGAGGCCTGAAATGTAACAGCCTTCTTTCAATCACCCCTTTGAAGGCCCCAAACGCCTGCTGCGGTGTATGCTTTCGTTGAGCCAGACAGAGACCTAAACGCCTCCATCCTACAAGACCTCAGCTAGCTGAACTAGATCCTAAGAGCTCTCCCCCAAAGTTTCTTTCCAAAGGGATGGTTTCGACAAAAGCAACTGGCTGATGTCAGTGTATATCGGCTTTGGTCAAAACCTGGTCTTTGGGACTTGAACGGAATGGAGCTCAAAGCGGCGGTGGCTATACAGTATGGCTTTTACCTGCTTCTATGACAAAAGCTTCCCGAGATCCCCATCTGCCACCCAGCGGCCAAATCATAAACTTTCGAGTGTCGATCGGGCCTTCTGCTGCCAAACACTCCCCATATGCATTCTGCGGCACCGTCGAATTCGGGCATGCGCATACATGCATGACTCAAGAAATGAGCAAAGAAAAGGGCTTGTCTCCATATTGGAGTAGACATCACATTGGACCAAAACGGAGGTGTGGATGGTATGGCCACTTCCATGTTAGTATGTCGACGTGACTTTGAAACGTCAACAATGATGGCCATTTGATCAAAAAAACCAAGCCTTATATAGCCATATGTAGCCTTTTTATGCCTTTTTTGGGGTTAGAAACTACGGCAGCAAACTCTGGAAGCTGATCAAACCAAGCAGATTTAGAGACCAACGTCTAGGTAGCTCTGACATGACTCGTGACTGGTTCAGCAAACGCACTGGTTCGCTCCTGCACCACATGCTCCTTGATGTCATCCAACCCAAAGACACGTAGCAGGATCTGGCAGCGTCTGAGGGATCGAATGTGGTGGTCTGAGGGATCCTCTGACGCGTTTGACCTCATACAGTGGCCTTAAACACCCCCACACACCCACACAAGATTTCTTCATCTTCCATGTGGCGCCAACGAGCTAAAAGTTGTGCTCAAATGTGCTCAAGGCATCTTAATGTCTTGCGCTTGGACGACAATGAATGGAAAAGCATCAGAGTTTGGCCACACCAAGGGTTGCCTACAACCCCCTCAACTTGACTTCAAGTTTGTCCACACCGATATGGGTGTGCATTTACATAGGGAGACCTCCCAGTTGGACCCCCTGGAAGAAGGCAAATAGACCGAAGCCCACTGGTTGGGGGTCTCCCTATTGAAATACACACCCATATCTTGTAGGGATACAATGTATGCAGCCACTTGGACTGAGCTCGGACCTTGCTGTATCGACCTTTCAATCTTGCCCAACCTTTATATGGAAGATTCCAATCTCTCTGCTGTTCATTCTTCTCTAAGGCTCTAGCCCTTGTTTCAAAGGCAATGTGCCACACAAAATGCAAGCATTACTTTCCAAAAAATACTGTAATTCACAGGTTACGAAGAACTATGGTAACTATGCGTGTGTGTCATGCTGTTTGTCAAGAAGGCCCCTGGCTTGTGATCATTTTCCATCCTCTAGCAGGTTGGTGCAAAACACATTCGGCGGGGGACCTTTGTCAGAAGCAGTTTTGGGCCGAACTCATGAGCCCGAGTGCTCAACGTTTGAGCCACATTTGCCTATAGATGCTATTGGGGTGGTCGGTGGTCATGCATTCGTATTATATAGTAATAGTAAAACATATATATATATGTATATACCTATATATACATATATATATATATTAATTATATATACGTTATATATCGTTATATTGAGTTTTAGAGTACTACTTGTATCGGACATCCCCTCTTGGTCCAACGCCAGGCCCCCACGGGCCGCCCCCCACGCCTGACGAAAGGTTCCCAGGTCCATCCCGCCGTTGGAGAGCCGCCGGCCGTCGCGCCGCAACTCCTGGACCTGGTGGAGTCTCCAGGTCCAGTCTGACCGGTCTCTTTCGAGCACTCCATCTGAGCGGTAAGCCCAACTGGAAGACAGGGCCTACCAACAACACATCAACCTCTTGGGTCTCGAACAGGTTCGCAACTATCCTCTACCCGTCTTGGGATCCACCATGTAAGTGGAGGGAATCTCCTTCCAAAAATGACCGGTCCTTTTCCAGAGATGTGCACATCTATGCACAGAATTCCAACACCAAACTAGAGTTGCAAACATATACCCCCCAGTACCTCGTTTGGGGTGGGCCCTGCCATTAGTGGTTGTTTTTGCCCCGAACCCTGAGCCTGGTCCAAGCCCAAGCTACAACAAACTTCACTTCGTGAAAGTCCAAGTGCAGCTGTCGTGAGAGCATCAAGGCTTCACTGTTCACATCCAGCAGCGCTGGCAGCGTGGAACGCCGGTTGAGCATGCTAGGGCTCTTCCTGGCAAAGGGTGCAGCGGGAGGGAGCCATGCTGGTGCGAGCCAAGCCATGCGGCATAGGTGTGGGACGTGCGTGCGCCGATGCAGTATGACCGTATGATGGAATTGTGTCCCCCCAACACGACACTGCCACTTTAAAGACTACACTTTGAATTGGGAAGACCCGTGCAGAAACTTAAGATATATATATATATAATACATATACAATTACAATCAATTAACATCTGCACAGCACATTGCATAGGTCGTGATACAAACTTGGCAAATCCTGTGCTACCACCCAAGAATTGAAGAACCCCCCTCCAGCCAGAAGCGCAGCATCCAAACATCAGGGTGATGCAAAGACTTGGAATGGCAAGTGGTGAGCCGTGAGCCCAGGAAGGTCTAGCCTCTTTCGCCGTTAATTAGAAAAGGCCTGAAGTAAAGTCTGGACCGTGATCGAATGCAAAAGGGTTCCAATGTCTCACCCCAAAATGCTTCGGTTCCAATTCCTTCTTAGGCCCCACTGGTGCGACCAGCGAGGACGGCTGGTGGACGTCACCGCCCCACCGCGTCGTCGTCGGTGGCTCCTGGGAGTGGATTGGTCGCTTTGAGGGCTCAAAGGATGAGAGGCCAAAGGGCTGAAGGCTGGTGCCGCAGGGGGATGCAGCCGCATGTCATGTAAGGTCATCAGCGGCGGCATGGGTCTCAGGTTCTTCTTCTCCTGCGGCATGGGTCTCAGGGACTTGAGAAAAGGGCATCATGAACTGAATCAACACAGTTTTGGGCGAAGAATTTTCTCAGCACATTCAGGTTAAAGGAGAAACTATAGTCCACGAGAGAACTTATCGCATATCAGCTCATTCGCCGCGTCCATAGGAGCAAACACGTTGCGAAAACTCCACGTCACACGTCGCCATACCAGGCACCACCCAGGCCCCAACCCATCCGAATCCAAAAGAGATTCTTAAACATGGAACACAAACATGTATCTCTGATGCAGCACCACACGACCGCCGCAACCATCCATCTTTAGATCTTCTTGTTCGTACTTTCCGTGCAGCCAACAGAACGAACTGAACGCCCGGCGGTCAAACACGCGCGCCTTGCGAATGGCATGGGAGATGGGACCTTGTCGCATGCCCTCAGTGAGGTCCGCCACGTGGACCTGGTGACACCAAACGTCAAGCGTGGACCTGGTGGGTCATCGATGGGCGAGGAATCAACAGCTACCCGGTGGCACGGTGGCAAATCGATCCCATGGACCACACCACGGGCTTGTAGGTCCGTTTCCGTGGGTGTCACATATTTTGGGGACCTGAGCACTTGGGACTTAAAGGTCTCCCTTCGTCTCCTCTTCCCCCCCCCAATGGGGGAGTCTTTCGGTGCGTTCCTGGAGGTGGTGGAGTCCTGTTGAGGCACTTGGAATCAGAGTTCCAGAGTCAATGCTGAAATTATATGAATATACTCTAATAATAAGACTGCACGAAATATGGATTGTACAAATTTGTTCAACCTCGTCATATTTGGGGGGTTGACGTGCAATCAAGAGCCAACCTCATCTTTCTAACCTCAGTAAACCTCAACTTTCACCCTTTGACATCTGAGTTCTTCATTGGTTTTTGTTACCCAACCACTTCGTCCCAGGAGCTCTGTAATGATGATCTCCCTCAGTCCTCCGGCGGTCCATTCGGGCGGGTCGGCGGAGCACGGCGTCATCGGACATGGCCGAGCACGGGGGCTTCGTCGCGTTCAGAAAAAGCGTCTGGTGAAGCACAAACAGCTGCAGGTGAGTAAGGCATGATATGGCATGTTCAATCGATATCAATCGGTGCCCCACACTCTCTCTGTCTCTCTCACTGTGCGTGAGCTTAGCTCCTCTTGCTGTGTCAACGAGGCGCCCCACTGCAAATGCATGACTGCATGACAACTTGACTGCACGGCAAACGGTCTTGACTCCAGGTGCCCATGACCATGTGGAAAGTGGCCCAAATGTTCTATGATCATCGTCGGTTGAATGATGCTGGTTCGAAACGTGCGTGTAGCTGCCAAATAGACTTTCCTTCATGATTTTTCACCAGGCTTCCCTGCGAAGAAGAGCAAAGCTAACACCATATTTGTGGGCCAGCCACTCGAGGCTCCTTGAAGAAAGGAAGGCCCAGCACGGCCATTGATCTGGGGCCAACCCTTATTGGGTTGCTCATTCAAACCAAGGTCTGGAGCAAACTCGAATGCCCCCGGCCAGCTGGTGAACTGCAGATGATCAATCATGCCCTTGTGTTGTTCAGAGCAATGCTTGTGCAAATAACCAAACTCGGAAAAATAGGAACAACATTAAGGTCTATATACTGTATACATATACATATTAGACTAGCTATTAGACTAACTATGTTCATGTTTTCATCTCACCCTCATTCTAATCTCTCTCTCTCTCTCTGTTAGCTTCCTCAGCCTTTCCAACTGCCCTCCTGTGTGTCCCTTACATGTTTTAATCTCTACTGCACTGCAATGCGCTTGTCAACGGTTTGGCAAAATATATAATGATTGCTGCCCGTTTGCTTACCCTAATTGTACTTATCGATTCTCCAGCTTTAGCATAACTGGTCGACACACCATTATACGCCCTACAAATGAATCCCGTGATGTAAAGACAATAGACAATGTAAAACAAAAACACTACAGCAAAGTCACTGCAGCATGCCTGTACAAAAGGATGATTTGAATCACTGGACTACTTCAAACAAATGTGTCCGTGTCTGAACCTATGAACCCCTATGGTTGCTATGTTGACGTAACAGCAATGGGTCCAACAGCGTGACTGTCACGGTCCATCACGACAGTGCGACAGCGTCCTGACGCTTTGACCTCTTTGGGAGAAGCTTCTTTCACCTTGGCGGTTGGGTGCGGGCACGTTGGGAAGCTACAAAGACAAAGAAGTGTCACAGAAGGTGTGTCTCAAGATGTCTCAAGGAACATTCTTTCGGGTTTTTGGATCTTTTGGGTGAACACGCAGAACCCCCTTAAAGTTCACCACAGCAACATGCGCGTCTTTTTCATGATTCTGCACAGGCGCTGTTGGGAGCGGGCGAGTCTGAAAATCGAGTGTGAATTATGGGTGTGGGCCAAAATACCTTGACACCTCCAATCCCAAAGCGTGTGGATCAGGCTAATCCACGGGTCATCTCTCCGCTTGAAAGACAGCGCCAAGTCTGCCTACCGGTTCTCCCCGGATCTGCCCGGAAGGGCGAAAAATGCATGGCCGCTCTTCTTGAGCCTCATGGCTTCACCTTGAGCCTCATGGCTTCACCTTGACACTGGTGGTCTCTGAGAAGCGTCGGAACACCGACATCAGGCGAGGTGGCCAACGGCGGAACTCGGAGACCCACTGCGCTTGGCGATAGCGGGGGTCCACGCTGGTCGCCCGGTCCCATTGGGACTCCTGGGTGGATGTAGCAAATGACAACGGTTCTTTGTAGTCGACCAATAAGGATGGGGAGGGCGGTTGGATCATCTCTCAACCTGAATCCTCTTTCATCTGCCCACATGGTGGGTCGTTTTGGGCTGGTTGTCACGGTTGTCCCTTCTGAAAAATTGCCAGGTGTTTTGGATACGTAATAGCCCGGTGTGAATATATAGGTGTGAATTGTAATTGTATACTGTAGACTCCCCAAAACATATTATAGTAGGCATAGCCAGGAGGAGAAGGAGGAGTAGGAGTAGTTGCAGCTGCACTCTGACTGATGGTTTGCTGCGTATTTCCTAGATCTTCTTCAAACATTTGGGTCGGTTGATCAGCAAAACCTAGCTCTAAGCATGTCCAACACCACCAACTTAGTCTTATTTGCAGCAGCAACATGCAGCAACCAGCAGCCAATGGTACCAACCCCACCATCTCCTGAAAGACCTAAAGACCAATTCTCCAGACTTTGTAGACATAAACCTCTATACAAACACGCTCCTTTCATCTCTTTTCCTTCACCCTCTTCAAACGTCTCTACTTATTAACAATTTCTCTTCAAAGCACCTTCACTTCCAAGACCCTGACATAATTTTTATCCAAAGACATCCAAAGACTGCGACGAAGGCTCTGCTTCAACACGTTCCCCCTGATCCCACAGGACCAAAGCATAGGCCGCCCGCGCGTCGGGGAAGGCTTCTGCATAGCGTGCAAGGAGCTTCCTCAGCGTCTGCACCGCCTCCGCGTGAGGTTGGAGTGAGCCAAACATGGTGAAACTTGGGAACAGGGCCATAAATGAACAGCAAAAAATGAACAAACACTGCAAGAAAAATATGTTTTCATCCTTCCTTTGAAGTCACCTGTATGGCCTAATCTGGCACTGATGGATTATTTGGTGTCCAAAGCAAGGAGGCACCCGTTACTGAAGAATCCAAGCTGCGCACGCCACACACACATATATTATATATATACATACTTAATGCCTAATGCGTTTGTCAAGTTCAATTTTCAATAACGAGCCACATGATCAAATGTCCATATCAAACAACTTCAAAACGTGTATGACACTGACACAAAGCAAAAACATATTGTTAAAAAACGCATGAGAGTCACTCTGGCTCACTCTCCAAGCAACTAAAAAAATGCTACAATCAATACTTAAACTTAACCAATCAATCTAAACAACAACCTGACTGCCTACCAGCAAAAACAAAAGAATCATGCAAGCACATGTACATTTGCCATTTGCTTGGGATATGGAAGAATCCCCGTCGAGCTCCGGTGAGTCAAACTGATACTGGGTGAGTAACCCTGGGGGTGAGTCAAACCAATGAAAAGTAGGACAAGCAAATCCCTATTTTCAGGGTTTGTTCCCCTCAGCGGAAAGATGCAGAAAGTATCCACATTCCATCCCAAGAGCTGGCCACAGCGGGGCGCATTGTGTCGTCACGGGCACAATGATGGATTCATGGGTGATGCACTCCGAAACACAAACATGGGAGTGGACGCTGGTGTTCCTCTCCAAGCAAGGCATTGTTGACTTCCATGTTCTGTTTTTCAAGGCATTTGGACCGGAGGTTCCCTGCCTGGGCATCCTCCTTCAGCTCATACTGCGCAATAGCCAGGTTGACCCCCGCGAAGGCGAACTGCTGAGACCCTTCCGGCAAAGAAACATCATACCAAAGTAAGATGTTGAAGGCATTCCAAGGCAGGCTTGCTCAATTAGTGTCTGCCCACGATTTTGGTTGGACATCTTATTTCACTTTGCTTCTTATTCCGTTCTCTTTCTCCTACTGGCCCTGACGCCCTGATGCTATTGACACTGCCATGCTGGTGCCTTAATGCAGTCCTTCGAATGGGGGATGGTGTTCCGCTTGACCTGGATCAATCATCTACCAGTACCGGAAGGGGGTTGACATGCTGGTCTAATCTCCCGTGACTCAGTGGGTTCCAAGGAAGTTTCCGCCCATCCAAGAGTCTCCTGAGATATCCAAGGCTTGCTGAAAGGAGTCCTTGGCTTCTTCAAAGCGTTGAAGCCCGAGCAGTGCATTGCCTCAGCTTGGAGTAGCGGCGCCCGACTCCAATTCAACCATATTCAACCTAGGTTGAACCTGAGGGCATGCTGATGTTGACAGTGAGGTTTAATATCTCAACATCAGGGCCAACAAGCAAAAACAACGGTGGAATGCCTCGCTTTTATTCTCAACCATGGGAACAACATGACACACAACAGTTTTATATGTACTTCTACACTTACAAACATTAATTTATATAATAATAATGAACAAAAACAAGATAGTAATAATGATATGGTATAACATGGTATGACATGGTCCGCTGGAGAAAAACAAACTAAGATCGTTGACCAAGCGCCACGGTTGTTCCACGCAGCAGGGTCCCCTGGATCATCTTGCCTGGGTTCCGTGGTAGAGGCGTTTGCAACGGTGAGGAATTGGAAAGCAAAGCATACCAGGACCTACAAGGGGTGGTTCACGGGCGCCAGTTCTGGGGTGTGGAATTAATATGTAGATATAATATATGTTATTTTTTGCCATGTTCTTGGTATGAAGACCATAAAACGTCGAAACTTGAATGCAGAAAAGCTTCAGGGTATTGAAATTGCTATCAAAATCCATCACAAGTTAGTTGGCATTGAAATCTCAGAACTGGATGAACGTGAATTGGATATAATTGGATTGGTTTTATCCGCCTCCTGATCATCCCACGATATCCCACACCTGAAAGAACAGAACTGAGTCTATGCAATGCGCGGTTTGTTCACACGTCCAAGACCAACTCTGTGCAGCAATTTTTGTAAGACAAGCACATGACATTCCTACAACATGCTGCTGGTACTAGGTTTCTTTAATGCTAGTAGCTTCTTGTTACTAGTAGTACAGTAATGCACTTAGCTACTAGTAGCGATGCACCTTGTTAACTCGGGAGAACAAAATCAAAATCAATCACTTCATGCCGATAGGCAAAACGACGTCATAGTCCTTGAGTGCATCTTCCAAACGCCCCAGGGATTCATAGACCGCTCCGCGGTTCAAGTGCGGATCCGGGGCATTGGGCACCAGCTCAATGGCACGATTGTAGTCTGCCAGCGCTTCTTGCCTCAGTGGATGTATTGCTTGGCAGAAGTCCATGAGAAAAACCACCAAAACGCGCCAAAACACACCAACACGTTTACCAACCTCGGTTTTGGACTAAACTTACCTGATTCAAAGAAGAACATCATAGAAAGTGCCGGAGACATGCGGTGACCATACGCCCTGTATATAGGTTCCTGTCTCCAACAGCCCGAGTGGACAATTCCACGAGCTATTTTACCCATAGATGGTTGCATTTACAAATATGGGAGACCTCGTAGGCCTCCTGACTGCCCTGGAAGAAAGCAACACAATTGTAGCCAGTTCGCCCCATTTCGAACACCAATCTGCTGCCTACGCCCCGCTTTCTGCTGACATTATATGCTCCATGCTCGCGCCCCGTCGCGTCATGTGCCGCCAAGGCACAGCTTCCCTTGCCGAGCCAAGGAGTTGCCCCGGTTACCTCGAGCGGTTTTGATCGATCGTAAGCCATAAGCTGCACCAAGGATATCGAGTTCTCGGATCATCGGATGGTCTAGTGATGTGAAAAGGGTCTGGTGATGTGAAAATGTGACCAAATGGAATGGTCACATTGTCACATGCAACACCAAGAAGGATGCCTTGTGTTGGATCACTCAAATTGGAGTTGCAGGATCTCAACCAACCAGAACGCACAAATTCTTACTTGACCCACTTCTTTCAGTTGTAAACGACACACCCGCGGACCGTGCTCGCTGAACGAGGAAAAGCCGGTCCAAGATGGTCAAAGGCATCCGGGTTGCAGCGCACTCGTACCTCGATATCTGGGAGGCCCGCGAAGCGGTCCAGCATCCTGGTCCAAGCAGCCTCTTCCTCTTCCACCGTGGGGGCACTCACTGCAATGTCGCCCATACTCTGCACCTCCTGATCGCAGGATATCGGGACATAGTTGCAGCTACCTCGCATGAAAAACACTTACAGTCTGACAGCCGCCGCCACCTGAACACTCACCCCGCAGCGCCTTCAGGATGGCCAGCTTCTGCTCCTCCGTCAGCGCACTCTCCGCGCGACATGCCCGACGGTCACCGGGTCGGCCGGCAAGGCCCCCGGCAAAACCCAGGAGGACGAGCCAGTGGCGCCTGGGCAGCAGCTTTGAGGCTGTTGGTGTGATATCCTGCAGCTTCTTATGGAAGCAAGCAGAATCAGGGATCCTGGATCTGGTTGCGTTCCGCTGTGTACTTGATCCTTTTCTTGAGTATACCGGTGTGTATACTGCGTACGGCATATTAACCGTGAAAATAGGTGGAACTGAACATACACGACAAATATATCCCAAACTCGATCCTGAATCTTTCTCAGATCATCCCGGCTCAACAACATCCCGGCTCAACTGGTACTGCACCAGCTGCAACACTGCCACGCTTTGTGGGTGACTGCGCCACCTGGAGGAGCTCGCGTCGAGAGGAGCTCGCTGTGGAACCTTCGCGTCGGTCCAGTTCCCGGAAGCAAACCACCGCCGTGGGGAACCACATCGAGATAAGTGGGATAACTTCACACGTGCATGTATATGTATACATATATATATATATGCAACATATATATGAGGTCTTGTCAAAATGTAAGTTCCCAAAAAACGATCGTTTAACGCTATTCCATGGGGCTCCGCTTCTAAAGTCAAATATAAATTCATATATGACCCTCCTGCTTTCATTTCCTGCGTTTCGGACCCCCACACCCTTTTTTTGCACGCGTGTGCTAGCGCGAAGCTCACTGTAGCTAGCTGCTGCTGCTGCTGGTGCTGCTGCTAGACTCGCAGTCTTGCAGAGCACGGCTTCTTTTCAAAGCTGACTTCTTTCGTTTTGTGGCCAGGTGACGCTCATAGCGTGCAATTTTCTTCTCGATTGAATCGCCAAGTGTTCCTGTGTCATGCGAACCCAAATCTTCATGCCGATGAATCAATGCATTGGTTTTAGTTGGAAACTCCGCAACCCAATTCTTCTGAGTGTAGTGGCCTCTGCGCCACTGCCTGTCTTTATCTGGAATCTTCTCCAAGCCACTGCACAAGGTGACTCGTGAACCAGAGGTTGTGCCCATCAGGTCTGAAAAGAAAAGGTTCCGCCATTGCACATGCTCAGTTTTGTCCCCAACACTCCGCGCTGACAAACAATAAGTTTTTCGGATCTGCACGTTGTCGGATACCCCCCTCCACTGTCTCTCAGGCTTCTGGTCTGGATTCCAATGGACAACCCTGTATTGTATACCCTTCGGATTCAAGCGCATGTCAGCTGCTGCTCCTTCCTTGAAAGCATCCATGACATCTGCAAGACTAGCTAAGCAAGTACCTGGTTGCGATGTTTTGTCTTTGAGCCATCGGTTGCATGAAGAAAAAAAGAGAATCACATTCTCCTTTTCCGTGCTTCTCTCCGAAGAAGCTGATTGAAATGGGAATACCTCCGGCTTCCCTGCTAGCCCACTGCATCTCCAGATACGCGCATAGATCCAGATTTCGATAGTGAGCCCCGCAATCACACCAGAAATGAGCTTCGCGAATTTGCTCCATTGGGAGGTGTCCCTTCAAAAGCTCAAGCTGGAGCGCTGCTGCTAGGGATGTGTGCTCGATCACATCTGACAAAATTACAAAGGCAAGCTTTTTAGATCCACCTGAAGGTTGCCCTGCATGGACAACAATGCCCAAGCAGCTGAGCTCCATGCGGGCTTGCGCCCAAAACATGTTGGACGTTTGCCTGTGGGCTAGCGGGATTGTAACGTTCTGTTTCCAATCTATCCAGATCAAGCAATGGTAGCCGGGAAGAGAATTGATCATACGACTGACCTCATCTTTTTGCCTTTCAGCAGTGCGTCTGTGAAATACATATGCACCAACAACCTTCTTCATCCAAGCCAAATCCCTCTCCAGCTGAGCTTCCTGCTCATGCAAGCGGAAAACTAAGCCTCGGCCTGCTTTGTTGATTTCCTTTCTAAACTTGGCAGTGTGTGAGCTCAAATAAGAAATGTAAGCCTGTAACTCTTCTGCAGTGTCTCCACTGACTGATTGCATGTGTTGAAAATAAGCTGGAATCACTCTGCCAACGGTATTTCTTCGTTCCCTGGTAAGCTTCCTTCTCTGGCTTCTTGCAGAGAAAAGCAAATTGTTCCAAGGTCTCTTACTTGGCCCAAGACTCAAATAAAGACAAGTCTCCGCCATGAGTGCCCCGAACTTCTGGCTCAAGACTGTGACTGAGCAATGAGTCTAACCCTCAAGCCCCCACAAAGCAGAACAAAGTCTATGTTCTTTGGTGCCCCTCAGCCTTCGCTGCTCAATCGCTTCATCAGCTCCTTTTGCATCTCAAAGATGGTTTTTTCTGCCGGCGTCATTGTCTTCTCAGCACCTCAGTCATTTTGAAGGAGGTCAGGAAAGGCTAAACACATCGGCAGGCTTCTATGACCCAGCATTAACTCGCTGGAACACTGGAACGCCTAGTTAGGGGCAAACAAACTACACAACCACACACCTTTGGCGGCTTAGTGACGCCTGGCCCGCTTCTTGGCCGATTCTTCTGCGACTTCTTTCTTCATGTCAGGGGTCCATTTGGCTTCGCAGCGGCTGCGACCCGGCATGCGGAACCCATCGGTGCAGTCCGGGCACAAAGCGTTCCTAAAATGCTCCGTCCGTGGGGTCTCACAATTCTTGCAGTGAAGGGCTCGTATGGTCTTGCCTCCGAAATTGGGACGCGTTGCCTTTTCAGGAGTAGCATGGGCCTGAACTGGCGCTGCCTTCTTTGGAGTAGTCTCGGCTTTCTTTTGCTCACTCCCCTGCAGCAACTGCTCGCCACTCTCCACATGCTCTGACTTCTTTGGGTTGGTCTCGGCTTTCTTTTGCTCACTCCCCGGCGGCAACTGCTTGCTGCTCTCCACATGCTCTGACTTCTTTGGAGTCACCTCTGGCCCCTTGTGAGGCACAGCATTGCTTTCCCAATCTCGAATGACATCTTGACTTCGGATCATATCCATGAGGCCACGGGTGGAATATACAAACTCTGTTGTGTTACCCTTGGCCACCGCATAGGTGACATGATGCTTCTGAGCACCACACCGGAGAACATGGAATCCCTGGACACATGCCCGTGAAAGCTCGCCAGGGCACCCACGAGGTGCCAGGCAAGTCTTCGGGACGATCATCTTGAACAAAAGCGAAAGGCTGCGAGGTCTGGACAGGTCTACTTCAATGACACTTTAATGGCAACAATACAAAGAGATCAATTATATATAAAGAACATTATAGAATCATTCCCAAATAGCTAGCGCAAACCTAGCGCGATCCTAGCGCCAAGCTGGGGGGAACCATATCATCCTGGTATTTACATGACTCCGCTTCTAAACGAAGATCTAAGTTGAAGAAGTTCAATTGCAAACGTTCCCTCTTTATGTAAAAGGCTTTCAAGGCTTTTTGAACGGATCTCATATAATCATATCATCATCATCATCATCATCATCATCATCATCATCATCATCATCATCACAAACAATTAATGCGTCGGCAAATCTAAATGTGGGTGTCTGGAGGTAGGAAAAGCCTGTCGGAAGGACATGAGAGGTAGTCGTGACTCTTTGGCCTAGGGTCTAGAATCATGTTTGAGTGTCGGGGCGCTGCAAGTTCATCTCCAAGAAAAGCTCTCGGTTGTCGGTGCGACCCAGTCGGACTGAATTGGTTGTTTGGCGGGCCTTAGCAGTGGTGACGAATAGAATGATCTACAAATATCTGTGGATTATCACCAAGTTCTGAATAGGTCTTGACTGACACCACCCACTGATGGTTGCTCTTTGATGCTCTTTGGATGGCTTTTGGCACCCGCACACGGCAGAGAAGAGTTGCTCTCTCCCTCTCTCTCTCAAACATATAAATTATAAACCTTTTTAAGCACCGCTTCGCTGGAACAGCGCATGAAGACTGCATGGACCGCATTTGCAAAAACGGTGACTCCCATTTTCGGAAGTGGGTGACTGTGGGTCTGCTTCGACTGCACTCGACCATGGACCGAACAATTGGAGGCCGTTTTAGACCATTCTCATCGACCCATGTGGTTTTCCTCTCCAAATGGACGCTGCCTGTGCTATCGAGACCACGGCGGCGTTTTCAGGACTTGGGCCGTGGTCTTGACCCAAGACACCCGTGTTCGGCCGCTGATGCCACTCTCTCGCCAGGTCCCTTGTGTCGCACTGTGTGTGGCAAAGGCCAAGTTGGACAAGGCCATTGCAGGTGAGCAAGGCGAGTGCTAAAATGCAAGACTAGGAACATCATCTATGTCACCCGTCAATAAGTCACCTTGTCTGCGACACACATAGAAAGACCATGCACTTGGGACCAAGTGAAGATCCTGCCAGTGGTTCCCGTCCGGGTCTCTTGAAGACTCTGATTCAAAAGAAGGGTCTTGCAGTCTGGATCTTCATACTCCGAGTCATTTCTGCACTTCACTGAAATCCCATGGCACTATGTTCATGTTCCTACGGTATGCGATGCTTTGAGCCAACGCTGGGCGAAAAAAAAAAAGAGATGCAATGGTATTGAATGTGCTGGTGGCATCATAAAGCAGCGGGACCAGGACATTAATTAAGTACCCAGCAAGAACACAGGCTTGGCTTCATCTATGAATACGCAGTGGAAGTGGTAACTTCCCCTCCGTCAGATCTGGGGCTTCTTCAGGCTCAAGGCTACGGCAGGGTATGGCAGGGTATGAGCAAAATGTTAGCCCCCACCATCCGAACTATAAGAACTATCTGACTATCTATCTTTTGTCCCAAACAGGTTGAGTGTGCCGGCAAGCCCACCCCCCGAAAGAAAAAAACATAAACAGAAACCAAAACTTCCAGGATATGCAAGTAGATGCTTCGCGGTCACATCTTCCATTGGTCTCCCAATCAAACGCATCTTCGCTTTCTCAAGGTGACTAGCTCCAGACGGGCCGGCATTTGGGTCTCCGGGCGGCAGCTTGTGGTGACGGGCTGCACCTGACGAAACACTGGGATTTGTGGAAAGAAAGCAGTAGATTCAGTAGATGTCATAACACACTCCCACCACATGGAAAGTGGAAAAGCCACTATTTTCCGTAAGGGGAAAGTAGGGGATCATTTTCCACTCCGGTCAAGTGATCCAAGGTAAATAGAGGTGATCTCAAGCTGTTACATATTTTTTTGACAGGTTGCCTTTGGATTCAAGCTGCGGTAGTTCAATATGGCACTATGGTCTGTATATAACACGCCAATGTGTTTGACACGACCAATCAGCTGAACCATGCGGTACAGTAGATGTGTGGCTGTGGGAAGTCTTGTCGGACCTCCCACCCAGTGGAACTTGCAAGGCGGTATCCAGGCAAAGTGAAAAGAGTGCCAGTCTTTTCTCATGGCCAGAGTCTGTCAGCATGGCAGCTGATGTTTGGCGTTCCGCAGGTGACTTTGCACCTAGAGAAACTCCGCTTCACAGGCTGGTGCACAGTGCATCCTTGCCCAGCCGCGCACGTGTGGCACACAAAGGCCCAGCGGGTGAAGCTCGAAGGGCGTCAACCTGAAGTCCTGTGAGGTGGCGGCTCAGCAGGGAACGATCCAAAGGGAAGGAGGGCCCTGGGCCCTTCAATCTTCAATCTTCCTCAATCTCAATGTCATGAAGCAAGCTTGTATGGCATGTCTGTGGCTTGCTGGATGGTATTACATGGCTCTATTTTTCGTTAAACAACAGATCGATATGGATATTGAATGTCTCAGACTCGCAAACCCAAATTACAGTAACATAATCCATGTTCCCACTCCTGCCAAGAAACAGACTGCAATATGTTGGCTGCATCGGAGCTTAAATCACAACCTCACGTGATGCTTTCACCCAAGGCATGAACAAAAGAGCTCCTTCAGAATCTAGACTCCCCTCATCTCCCTCAAGACTTTTGGTTTATACAGAATCATATTGTTATTTATCGAGGTTTTCCGGAGACTTTCTTTGGACCGCTTTTTCAGGGCCTCCACCTACCAAGTGGTCAAACCTGGCACGTGAGGCATCCATCCTCGAGTCAACAGGCACACGTGGGGCACACGCCCGCGGGCACCAAATCCCAAGACTGGTGGAGCAACGTGCGGCAGCTGCCTGTATGAGACTTGCCCGTATTTTTTTGCGTCTCTTCGGGTGGGGAAGGGAACAGCACACAAGGTCTTTACATGACGTCAGGAGCCAGTTGCGATGAGATTTCAATGTATTTCGCTTCTGTCCAGATGCTTGTTTGGCGAGACCATGCGAGACTGACTCTTGGAACAAGAGTTGTTTCCGGAGTCTCCAATCGGCAGTGCTTGGCGAGTGGCCGCAGACCGCAGCTGTCATCGGCTGTAGCAGGTGCCGGTAAGCGGCGTGAGCCAGGCGCCCAGGCACACATGGCGGCACATGCTCCACAAAGATCAGCAAACCGCCTCACAGGCGCGCTTTGAACCGGACGGGAGTCTGTTCGTCCCCGGTCTGTTGGTTTCGTCTCCGTGAATCCTCCGAGTTTCGCTTCCTAATGTGACCCTGAAACAGGGGGTGCCAGTTGCTAGGAAGAAACATGGCCCCAAATAGAAGGAGTTTGGCATTCATGGTCCCCTCTAGCAAATGAGGACTCCACGACTTGATCGAATTTCGCCCGCATCCCTGACCGCCACAGTGTTGGCTCCACCCTCATTTAGGTTCCAAGTTCCAAGTGTGGAAAACAATTTATATAGTCTTGAGTCGAAGCATGTCGAAGCCTTCAAAAGGCATTGGGGGGGTAGCTTGCCCTTGGAAGGATCCGGAGGATCAACGCCCAACTGTATCTTTAACTGGCAGTCAGCTCTCTCCCCTCGTTCCCCTCTCCGTTCTTTCAGCAATTCTCGTGCGTTGGGAAGTCAACCATGCTTAGTGTGAAACCGGGCATGGACATCAGAAGTAAACAACAAAACACATCTCAAAGAACAACCTGCAGATTAACATGGACCGCAAAGTATCTAAATAACTGCTCCGTGGTTGGGGTACATGTGAATCTGCAGGAAGGTAGGTTCCAACGTGGTCTGGTATGCTTTGGAAGAATGGGAGCCCGCCAAACGAATTCACGCCACATTGACAGACAATGTACAATTGAAGAGAAAATGCTACCTATTCGCATGCCAAGCGTGCACCAGGCGCATTGTCTGTACAGCTGATGCCGCCTACAATTGCCTCTTCACATGGGAGGCAAAACATCTCCTTATCGCGCAGTTCAGCAAAAGATGTGGCACACAGATTGTGAATCCCGGAGTTGTTCTACATGAGAACCTATAGGACAAGCGCATTTGCCCTACCTAAGTAAAGCGCACATCAGCCTACTAATTCTACATGACAGGGATCTTCCAGACCTGTTGGCTCAAGTTCAAAGAGTTTTAAACATTCTGAAAGCGCTGCTCACACATGCGGTTGGGCCACCCTATGACAAAACGCGTAAATATATACATCTGTAGCTTAGCTAGATGTGCCACCACAAGAAGAACCGGATTCTCCTCTTTCTCCGAACAGTCGAGCCAAGCACCTATTGAATCTAGCAATGTGGGTGTCTCAAAATGGAGGCCCAGCACGCCCATATCAAGTACTGTATCTCATATAATATGGATGGATGGATGGATGGATGGATAGATAGATAGATCGAATGGGATGGGATAGGATTAGATTAGATTAGATTAGATAGATTAGATTAGATTACATTAAGACAAGACAAGACAAAACAAAACAAGAAATACATACAGCAGAAAAACAGTAAATTAATAGCTGGCATTATGTATATATATATATCATGCAATCATCTCCCAAAAGCCTTCGCCGTGGCATCCAAGCGTCCGAGGTCATCGTTGCCCCAGTCGTCGTCGTCCTCGGCCTTGGGCGCCGCCAGGCGCCGCTTGGGCGCTGCCTTCTGCGGCAGGTCGGTCTCGGCCTCGTAGAGCTCCATCGGTGGGCGAGGAGGATCCTTGGACCGAAGAGGAATGGGAGAAGGCGAATGGATCGGTGGGTGCGATGGGGAATCCAATGGAACATTTGTGGTCACTGGACCAGGTTCTGATGGATTTGACCTACAGGCTAGTGAAAAAAACCTCTGAGAGTAGATCAGCTTCCTGGCACTTTTCACAAAAATTATCCGCTTTTCGCGCGTCGCTCTGGCTGCTGCCGTAGGCTCTGGTGGTGCTGGTGGAGCGTCATCCTCATCAAAGTGACCCCGAGAACCGCCGAAGCCCATGCGACCTTCATCCATCGGGCTATCATCCTGGCGTCGGCGTCAGGTGTTGGTGGTGGTTCACACGGGTTGCATGGTGTTGAACAAGTACACAAGCCTAGGGCACTCTATGACCCCTCAAGAGTAAATGCTCCACCGATGTCTCTCAAAAAAGTGGCAGCTCAAGGACTTCGCCGCGGGTGAAACCCTGGACAGAACAGAAAAACACAAGTCACAAGTCATAACAATTTGTATGTCTACGTCCTACATATTTCTCATAACATGGCTGTTGATTTCTTGGACACGACAGCTTTAACATGCTTTAACTCACCCCAGATTCACCCCAAACGCTTTTAGAGGCGGCCAAGCTGGAACCCGCCATTTCGCCAGCCAGTCCTGCCCGATGGCTGAGACGGTGTTCATCGGCCGCCCACCCTGCTGCCCTTGCTGGGCCTCCTGCATTCGCTCCAGCTTTCGGAGATGCGCGGCGTAGTGATCCTTGGCGCATCAGAAGACTCCAGCAGGGGGAGGGGCATCCATAATTAATTATGCTAACGTGCCAACAAACAGTGGAAAACTGTGGGCTTGCCAGACTATAATGCCCGCCCGCGATGTTCTGCCAAGCATGTAAGAAACCAGCAGCAGCAACAGCAGCAGCAGCAACAGCACAGCAACAACACCAACAACAACACAATGCGCATGAGCAACACATGGCAAAGCCGAAAAACAAGTAGAAAAAAACAGTTGTCAATTCCATCCAGGATCATACTTCTGCTTCATCTCCTTGCAAATGGTGATGAGATATCTCACGCACTCGATATCGTTTGGATGTGAGCGATGAATATCCTCATACAATTTCAAAGCTGCTGGGTAGGCACCCATACCTTAGCAGAACAGAAGTGAGTCTGAGTGACAATTGAACGGCGAAACAAACAAAACACCCCCTCTTCTTTGCCATCAAGTTGGCAATCAAATCATATCAATCATAATGTATCAAACCATTATCATGAGCCAACACCACCCAAAGTAGTTTATGGACCCCCCCTGACGATGGATTTTCCTTCCGCTACATACCCTTTGGGTGGGGTGGAGTGGACTCGACTTCTAGTAGACATCCCCGGCTTTATTCAGGTCACGCCGATAGCACGAGGCGACCATGAGCCTCCACTTCACTTCATTGGGTTCAATCTGTGAAGCTCTGGCGAAGAACGGAATCGCGGCCTGGGTTCGCTTCAACAAATCTCAAGAATCCCATTTGGCAGGTCCTGTGGTTTTGTTTGAGCACGTCCCATGATTCACATCCCAAATCAAGAGAAGCATTTCAGGAGGTGAGATTACTCATGTTGAAGCTCCATAGCTGGAGGGTTGTTCACATCTCCTGGCTTGGGAGTTTACTCAAGAGTCAACATCCCCAGGCACGCCAGCCCAAGAACCCGAAAACTATCGAACAATGTCGTTCACCATCAGTCCAACAGTCCGTTCATCACAGCAGGAACACCAAATCCGAAATGCACTTGCCCCCTTTTGAACAATCCATGTTCCCTGTTAAGAGCAAACGATTGGTTCGTCGTGGTCTCAGGAGGGCCACTTTCCTTCATATGTCATAAATGTATACTGTATACATATAATATGATCATATATACATATATATATATATATGTGTGTGTGAAACCTGCTATCGTTCGAGCATCCAAGCACCAGGTTGAACCTTCGCATGAACAACCGTGAATCGACGGTTGGCTCAAAGGACCAGGCATGATGGTGGAAATAGCGCGGCCGCTTGATATTGCATAGGTGGTTGATAGGATCCGTAGGTTTTTCCAGGTTGAGTAGGGCTACCTTTGTGTCCTCGAGGACGAGGCACATTGGTAGCGGAGCCCGAAAGGGCCCGCTGCTTCGATTTTGATCGTAGTAGTGGAAAGCCATGGCAACAGAAGGTGCTGGTTCCAGTGATGATCGACAATCTGGAATCTGGTCAGTGTTGCCGTCGTTTGACCCTGCCGTGGACGACATAAAGGAGTATGTGGCAAAGGTCAAGTTCATCGATGGCATATGCCCAAAGAAGGATCGTACGATGCTGGCACCAAGGTTGGCAATGCTATGCAAGGGAACAGCATGGCATCAAGTTCGTGCAGTCAGCGCAAACCTGTTGACGGATGCTGACAATGGAGTGAAGCACTTCCTGTCAGCCCTGAGTTCATGGGAAGAGAGTGCAGAGCTGAAAACGTTCGATTTGTTTGAGAAAGCAATATACAAAACATACCAAAAGGCGGACGAGAGCACCCAGAGTTTCGTGAACCGCCTGAATGTTGCATTCCATGATGTTGGATTGGACACCACCTTGAAGACAGTTCGAGCTTTCGTATTGCTGAAGCAAAGCAATTTGAGCATGGAGGACAAGAAGAAGGCGTTGACAATTACAAGTGGAGTGATGGACATTGAAGCTGTGCGAAGCCTCTCAACAAATGTGCTGACAGGTACGACCGACAAGAAAAAGGTATATCCCACCAACTACGTCAATAGCGATGACGAGGAGCAAAACAATGAAGAGACCCAGTACGGCCAACCATCGTACCTGGCTCAATATGAGGACGAAGAAGTGACCCACGAGTACATCGAGAACCTCGCAGCCTCAGGTGATGGTGATGCCCTGGCCGTCCAAGGGTTCGAAAGAGATCTAACTGATCTATTCCAAGAAGTACCAGAACTCCACACGGCCCTCACGGCCTATCAAGAAGCCCGTGGTCGAATTGCAGAACGTCGCAAGAGCCGAGGGTTCTGGCCGGTGAAAGGTGGAAAAGGTCGCGGAGCTGGATGGTCATTGAATGGATCATACAACAACCTGAGAAGCTGCAAAACGAAAGCCAGCGCTTTTGTGGGGCTGATTCGCAGTGCAAAGCCGGGAAGAAGCTATTTCCACTGTCTGTGAAGCCTGGTGCGCGCCATACCTGGGAACAGAATTGTAGCTACAAGACCTTTATTTTCAAGGTCGCCCTGAACAGAGTGTTTTAGGGCAGCAAACCGTGGTCTCAGGCCACCT